CTGGAACTAATATAGGTGAAAATCTTTCATTTTAACACTACCAAATCACTTCTTAAATTATAAATAATGAATAATATCATTAAAATTATTTACTTCCGTTATTGTTCTTGTATGAAATTTCATATCATGTTAATTTTTGTTGTACAAAGTTAACCAAATATTTGGGGGAGGGAGGTTAGTATGGTTTATTACATATTCCATTTTATGATAACATTATGGTTGCAATCAGCATTTGTTGACTTCTGAAAGTTGAAAACATGCAAGTTACATGAAATCACATATACAGTTTCAAAATAAGGTAATGTGTCATCTCTCACCATATAAATCCATCTCTGCACCATATTCATAGTCATTTGAATCTCTTGTTCCTGCTCAGCCTGCAGTCTCCTCTGAAACGTCGACCACTATTTGCCAGATTAGATGGTACCACATCCCAGGCGACAGACACAGTATGTAAAAATAAAGTTGAAGATGAAATGCTTATGTGCACTCCCATAATACAGGAGAAGTTATTTTCAATGCAGTTGACCTGCACATGGCTAAAAACGAGCAGTAATTGGAAACAATGTGTTAATATTTGCACGGATGAAGCAAAATCGATGGTTGGGGAGAAGCGTCACTTTATTGCACATTTTAAAACCACTGCACAAAACGCACATGTAGGCACCACCATTCTTTTACTGTGAAAAACTTTCCAGCCCGACTGTAAACGGTGTTACGAAAACTGTAAAGTTCATAAAATGAAGATCACGGAATTAAGGAATTTTCAGTGCCCTTTGTGACAAAATAAGTACTAATCACATAACGTTACTGCTGCACAAGAATCACGGGGCAGAATTTTGAATTTGGTATTCAAAACACGCTCAGAAATGTTTACGTCAAGTATGCAATTATACGGCTCCAGAGGTTAGAACACATAGCAGACATTTTTACAGAGATAAATAAGCACAAACTATCATTTCAAGTTACACTCTGTGCAACAAAAATAAAGCATAGACACGAACATACATGCTCAGAGTGGAATTCGTGTCCGAGTGGTCATGACCCACACCCCAGACCATGCAGCCACTATGCAAAAGTAACGCTGCCCCACTATACGCCATATGGACGCTTAGGGGGTAGAATATATAGCTCATACATTCGGTTCTCAACGCAAAATGTTAAAAACAGAGCTCCCTTTCAAGGAAATAGCTGGGTTTCAGTCGACTAGGTGCCCTTTTAAATACATACAAAGAAGAGTAGTGGATGATCGAAATATTTCCCAGTCCGTTAAACTATACAGTAACTTTATAATACAGCATTTTGTACAACTTTTGGTAGTACATATTTCCACCTTCTTTTTTACTTCATATAATCTAAAATTTACATTCCTTTTAATTTTTAATGCTCAAAACATTCAATTGTAACTTATATTCTAGGAGGAAGAGGATTCTGTGGACATTTTGTAGACATTTGTTCCAGCTGTGAATTAAAGAGGAAAATTATCAGTTTATTACCAAATTTCTGAACTTTACTCCTTCATATTTACAATTTCAAAAAACAAAATTATTGAACAATAATATTTATTTTATAGAGAATGAACAATGTGATAAAACATATGTCAGTGAATTTGTTAGTTTGTAGGCAGCTATGGTGATATGATGACATTTGAGG